AATAAAAAATCAATGACCCCCAGTTTAAGATTTGTACACTTACTCCGCTTTCTAAAATGGAGAGCTGTTCTTTAGCAGCCACTCCTCCAATGATCAGAAGATCCCTGCAAAAACATCATGTTCAGTTAACTCCAAACCCTCTCAACAGACACTACTAGTGTTGTCACGGTACCAAAATTTCAGTATTCGGACCTGTAGTAAGTCAGTCTGGACACTAGGAATGTACTACCACCTTGAACAGCCGTTTGGGTACTTAAAAAAATGTTAAAAGTCATGTTAGTTAAAAGACATTGGACGTTTTAAACACAATCGGAGGAACTGTCAGACGGTCCCTTACGCATCAAGCGCTGCTATAGCACGTCAAAGCTTTCTCCGGTTTAAATTTGCTGCTAAAATACACTTAGACGGTTTTTAAATAATATTTTCATGTCGATATAAAGTTGTTGCATATTGTTAAAACTAATCGTGGTAGTGGTATCTTTGTAGGACTGTCGACTCTATGTCTGGCGAATATCGAACCTAAAACTAACTTTACCGCGCTTTTTGTTAGTATGATGCGTTTCCTCCTGCTTTTAAGAAGAGGTTACCAGGTTTTCACAACAAAACCCGCCCAATCGCGTTCCGAGGGGGTCTCCGTTAAAAATCGCACCGATACTTAAAAAAACCTGGTACCGTAACGTTTTCATTTTTTTAGTACCGACTTGGTACCGAAATACCGGGTATTTTGACAACACTAGACACTACAATTATGAAACTCACTGCAGCTCCTCCGTTACTCTCAGCTCACCTCAGTTTGAGGTTATCAACATATTTCTTGAACTGGTTGACATTATTGAGGGTTTGTTCAGCCAGCTCTTTAGACGGCTCAATGATGAGAGCTCTGGGGGCGTTAGAAATGGATTTGACCCGACTCACTTTAGCACTTCCCGAGGACAAATACACATGACAGACAGAATGCAAGGAAACATTAATACAAGCCCTGCAGGCAGTGAAAAATTAATGTGGTTTGAAGCTCACCTGTCTGGCTGGATTTGACCACATGACCGTCTGAAGCCTGGTTGACGGCCACATATCCATCTTTAGGTTGGTTTTTGAAAGGTTCATCACCAAAGTTGAATTTCAGTTCAGCATTCTGGGTTTGATTGACATAAACCTTTGACATAAAGCATTTTAAGAAAAGCTGTTTTGAAAGAGAAATGTTACGTAGCAACAAGACTTGTATATGTCAGAAACCTTGAGCACACAGGAAGCAAAGAAGGGCTGGTTTTTCAGCTGTGGAGGGATCTCAAAAGCCAGACGAACAGGAATCAGTTATAGTGGCTTCCATTTGCATTACGGCTGCATGGTATACTGATATTAAAAATAGTTTGATGGTGCCAAACATTTATTATCTATTCAAAAATTTGGAGTTGGTAAGATTTTTTTCTTCAATGCTCAGCTTGTATTTGACCATATTTTATTTGAAACTGTTTTGCATTTTATTATTTTTGTGTAAACAGTGACAATTTTTCAGGATTCTTTGATGAATAAAAAAAACATTTGAAATAGAATTTGTATTTGAAATAGAAATGTTCTGTAACACTAAAAATATTTTTACTGCCATATTTGATCAATTTATTTCATCCTTACATTACTGACCTGGTAAGGTAGTGTATAACATTATATTATGAATTATTTTACATAATATTGATGACAATTTAGCATAGCTCTGCATAGTGTGACGACATGCTCAATTAAATTAAATCGAATTATTCACCAAAATATTTCAAAGGCTTAAATTAAAAACAAGCCTTACCATTTTTAGAGAATGACACTTGGCATTTATCCAGATCTATGTAGCATCCGATGGTGTCGTGCATAGTGAACTCCTGGAAAAGGCATACATCTAGTCAATCTACCAAAACTTGAGAGTCAAATCAAATGCCTTCATCATGCCTTACCTTTCCGTAACTATCAAACTGCTTGTTGTGAGATTTCTTTCCAGTTCCCCCCAAAGCCAAATCCACATTTGTCCATTCCTAAGAGAGGGTAAAAATAGAATACCAAACATTATTATTATTACAGAAGTAATGACATAAACAGGTCAGTATAATGAGGTCATACAACAACATACCCAAGTCCAGTGATGCCTGGGCAGTGGACCAGCCCAGCCTGCACAGCCCTTGATCATGACAGGCTACTTCATAATAATTCTTCCCTAGAGACAAATAAGCAGAATAAATCTTCCCAGGAATTGTTTGGTTTTGGAAAGAAACACAAAAAAGTGGTCTCTTACCTTTTGTGACTGCTTTGGTGGAACGACAGCCATGCCACTCTTTGAACTCTCTGCTCTGACAGCACAGGCCATCTGGACCAATAGCTGAAGGAGAAAAAACAAAATGTAATATAATAATTTTTGTTGCAACAAAGAAGTGGAAATAAGCTTCCAGAATCACAATGAAGAGTTCAGAATCAAACCAGGTTAGGCCTTTCACAAGAAAGTGTTAAACACTTACCAAATGCAGAACTTCTGTCATAGGGGTTCATCTGCCATTTATTAAAAACTGGAATGGACAAGAAATCCAAAAAGAACAATCAATAAATCAAAGCCAAAAGTGACCTTGAATTTTTGACAGCAAAAGTAGTTTCTGAAATACACTTCAGCCAAGCAAGTAAATTAGATAACTGTTTTCTGATGAATGAATCTTATTTAAATATTATGTATATACTATAGTATTTTGAATTAGATTTTTTTTATTTGAGTTTGTTTTCATAATTTTGTGTGCTATTGTCATTTTATTTCTATTTAGCTTTAATTTTAATTGATTTCAGTACATCAACTTTATTTAAATTAGATGCCAAGACAACATTTGTACTAGTTTTTTTTTAAGTTACAATTTTTAATATATTTATATTTTATTTTAGCTTTATTACAATTAGCGAAAATTATTTTTAAAGCTTTTTTTTTTTTAGTTAACAATAACAACATTATACTGTGCTATTACTGTGTGTTCAAAACAAGCCACCAAAAACAAGTTCTGTCCCCAGAAAAAAACGGTAATGTATGGTCACACTATAATAATTCTTACCCATGGAACATCAATGTAAACTAAAAGCGGCTATATACATAAATGAGTTGAATGCTGATATATAGATGAAGGTTTAATACCTGCTCCTCCTGTCTTTACAGCACTGCGTCCCTTCTTCCCCTCCTGCTGGTCTTTAAGGGTCTCATAGACTATTTGGATGACTGGAATACTGAAGGCCTACAAGACCACATTGATTTTGTGTTCACATTTCACTGCTCCTTTACATATAAAATACAGCTCTGATGCGTGTCATCACAGTGACAGTTTTAGGGTAAAGTACACAGTCACAGAAAAAACATATTAATATCAATGGCTTCACACTTACTCCAGTTTTTCCGCTCCCAGTCTCGGCAGCCTGTGAACATAAACACACAAGTGAGCACAGAGGTGGTGCTCTCTCTCTCTCTCATTCACTCACACTCACACTCACACACTCACACACACACACGAGAACTGGCTTCACCCTGCTTCAAAATAATCTTTACACACTCACTCACACACACACACACACACACACACACACACACACACACACACACACACACACACACACTGGATAGTGATCTCACCATGAGCACTTCTCCTCCGCCCAGAATCAGTGGAATGGATTCGGCCTGAATGTCTGTTGGCAACCTGAAAGAGAGGATCAAACCTTTAACTACTTTAATAATGCACAGATAACTAACTTGTTAATACATCTATTATGTGTATATTAATAACTATTAGAGACTGTCTAACTCACAGCCAGTCCATTTCTTCCACCGCTTGTGCAATTTCAGGCATCACTCCCATTTCTATAATTCAAAACGACAAGATATCAAGATCGCAAATAGTTTAAATTAACCACACTCAATATATAATAACGAAATACATATTCTGATAGTTTTACTAAAATGTTGACGGGTAAATCTCACCGCCGAACGCTGCCATGGTGTCAAACTCCTGCGAGTCTCTCCACCGGATGTAACGTGTGCTCACTGTGCTCAGCAGTGTGCCGGTTCCATAGACTGTATAAAAACAGGCTGGTTCTGATAGAGTGCTGCGTAGAAAACAATCCTTGCTTTTTATGGACAAAAGAGATAAAAACTTTATTTCACCACCTATAGCGACAAAAATATTAAAATAACGTTTTAGTTATGGAAAACGGTTGGAAAACAACCTATAAATATTTAGTCGGAATATTTAAAAGATCAGCGGTCCCTTCATATGTACCTCGCAGACCGCCGTAGTGTGACGTGAGCGCAGTCCAGTTCATTGAAAACATGGCAGGTGATATTCTAGAAGAGGAAGAGGAGAATATTTTATATGATTTGCTTATTAACACAGAATGGCTGCCCGAAACAGATACGCAGGCTTGTCGAAATATACGCGTTTTCTTTAGCCAAATGATCATTTGCACCCGATATTAAAATATTACGTGTAATTAAGCAAATCAATTCTGCGCAAGTTATTTTGAGCCACGTATTCAAGTTCATCATCATCCAGGATTTATTTACTTGTAAATATGATTGTGTAATAAATATCATTATTATGATTTACAACTCGTCATATATTCTTTTTTTCTGTATATTGTCAATTATAATCACCAACTGCAGTTTCGAGGAGCGGGTTCACGTTCAGAACTATTCACTTAACAGCCTGATGACAGCTGATAAAAACAGTCTATGATATTATTCATAGACTTCGTGTTTGTTTGTTTTTTATTTTCAGCTGCGTGGACTGAAGGAACACAACTCTTCGCTCGTTGCAAAGGCAGTAACCGGTAGGAAGTGCAGAAATGAGATGCAGCAGATTTGAAAATGTTTGCAAGATGCCATGTTTATTAATGCAAACAGAATATGTCTCAGAAGTAAGGTAAAACGTGACTGTAATTTCTAGGTAGGCAGCTCACATGTTTCTTTCCAAATCAGAGAACAGTGTTTCAGCACGAGTATGTTTATTTGGCAGACGTGTGCCCGAAACAGATACGCAGGCTTGTCGAAATATACGCGTTTTCTTTAGCCAAATGATCATTTGCACCCGATATTAAAATATTACGTGTAATTAAGCAAATCAATTCTGCGCAAGTTATTTTGAGCCACGTATTCAAGTTCATCATCATCCAGGATTTATTTACTTGTAAATATGATTGTGTAATAAATATCATTATTATGATTTACAACTCGTCATATATTCTTTTTTTCTGTATATTGTCAATTATAATCACCAACTGCAGTTTCGAGGAGCGGGTTCACGTTCAGAACTATTCACTTAACAGCCTGATGACAGCTGATAAAAACAGTCTATGATATTATTCATAGACTTCGTGTTTGTTTGTTTTTTATTTTCAGCTGCGTGGACTGAAGGAACACAACTCTTCGCTCGTTGCAAAGGCAGTAACCGGTAGGAAGTGCAGAAATGAGATGCAGCAGATTTGAAAATGTTTGCAAGATGCCATGTTTATTAATGCAAACAGAATATGTCTCAGAAGTAAGGTAAAACGTGACTGTAATTTCTAGGTAGGCAGCTCACATGTTTCTTTCCAAATCAGAGAACAGTGTTTCAGCACGAGTATGTTTATTTGGCAGACGTGTTTACTCGAGATAAAATAAACTCCATCTGAATAATACAAGACCTGATTCTAATCGCATCTTATTTAGTGATTTTAGTCCAAACCAAGTTGTTTATAAATCTACTTATGTCAGATTATTTGTGTTTTAAATGGGGATTCTGGGGATAAGTTTGTTTTTACACATGAAAAATATTTGATCTACTTATACACTTAATATTTTAATACAACAACAACTTTCTATTAAAATTATGCCTTGTTTTGCCGTTTTTAGATGATTTGCTCATTATATTCATGTTATAGTGTCATTTATATATAATTATAGTTCTGAATTAGTGTTTTTTTATTAACATTTTGTTTTAATTTGAGTTTTAGGGTAATTTTTAGTAATTTTTATGTGCCTTTAGCATTTTTAATAGTTCATTTTTTTTTTATTGTTTAAAGTTTTATATAGCTTTAGCATTTTTAGAACTTTAGCACTCATTTACGTTGATACATTTTTAGTACATTAGTATGTATTTATTTTGGTTAGTTGCCAAGGCAACGGTTTTCTTTTTTTTTCAATCTGAAATGTATATTTTCAGTTTTATTTCAAATACAATTTTTAATAGTATTAGTTAAACACACACACACACACATATTATATTTCCAAAATCTGTATAAGCTTATTTGCATTGCCCTACAGTTGCATTGCTGCCTTAACTTGGTACAGAGATTATTGAATAATAATCAAAATATTGTGTCTTTACAGGGCCCTTCAGGTTTATTCTGCACTACCTTTGGTACAGGTGAGATGTTGTCTCTCCTATTTGTATTTACAGTGAAGTATACAGTAGCTGCGTATTTAGAATTTGTAATATATAGTGATTCTCCCATATTTAAATAATTAGACAAAGATATAACACCACATACAGTACCTTTTAAAAGTTTGGGGTCGATAAGATTGTGAAATATTCTTAAAAGAAGTTTCTCATGCTCACCAAGGCTGCATTTATTTGATCAAAAGTATAGTAAAAATGATTACAACTGTTATCATCTATTTTAATATAGTTTAAAATGTTATTTATGATGGCAAAGCTGAATTTTCAGTTCTTAAAAATCTTTTTGAGCTCAAAGTTTTGAATGGCAGTGTATATCATTATCATTACTATATCAAGGAAACATAGTACCAAGTTATTCAGCTGTTAGTGTTTGTGTGAGTTTCTGTATTTTTTCTGTATTTCAGCCCCTCCAGTTCAACTCTGCCACCTGGACTGGTTCGCCTTGCAACCAAACAATTGAACTGGCAGTTGGTGCTGGCAAGGTAATACCACCAGTATCTGACATACTGTATACAGGCTTTTCAGAGAGTTTGAGTCAGTCTATTCCAGGCAAGTTTTGGCAGGTTCATCTGCAGTGTGAAAAGCTTCAGCATTTGCTGCATATTGATCATCCACACCTCATTGACTCTGCATTGCTAAAGTGTATACTGTGTCTCTCACCAAAAATCATTGGATTTTGCCCCCTAATTTAGACTCTTTTGTGTATAGAGTTGTTTTAGGTTCATTATAACTGCAACAACACTGTTTTCTTGGATTTTCAAGAAATCATTCGTTTGTGTGTTTGGGTTCTTGTGAGATATCCAAATGTAATTAAACGCCTGTTTTTGGATGCAAGCCATGTAATCTCAATCAAACTCATTTTTTCCTTCACTGTTCTACTTGTTCATGCCAGTTATCTAGTTATGCAAAACAAGCAGAGACGGCAAGCTTTAATTAGCTACTGATTTCCAGATGGAAGACAACATTCTCTGTTTTAGAAATGTTTATTTTTGGCCCCATGTTTGCTTACACAGTCATTCTGTCTTCTTTTTCCCCCTTTTTTTAATTAATTAATTTATTTTTTCCTTCCAGTAATGGGAAGCTCCTGGCTGTGGTTCAGGACCAATGCGTGGAAATGAGGTAATTTTGCACATCGATTGGAAATGTTTGCCCTTTCTGTAATTGGTTAATTTTTTCACACTCTTGTCTCAGGTGCTGTTCAGCTGAGCAAAGCTATTTCTGAGACAGATGATTTGGTGCAGATGATGTGTTTTTAAATATTTGTATGTGTGTTTTCATGTACAATTCAGTTTCAGTAGGTATGATTTATTTCTCTTGGCACCAGCTAATCCGCTCGCACAGAAATGAAAGTGTCACGCTTCAGGGTCTAAGTAATTCACAGCCTGATGTTCTGAAAACAACCTCTAAACTTCAAATTGCTTAATCTAAAAAAATCTATAGTTTCTCCACATTCTCCTATATTTGCTTACTGAGGCTGATGGGAACTCAAAACGCTCATGTGTTTTTATCAACACACTTCTAATGGGCTTCTTGCGCTCTTTCAGGTCAGCTAGAGATGACTTTGGATCCATCATATTTCCTATGCTAAGGTACAGTAAACATTTAGTTTTTTAGTTATGCCAGGCCATTTCCCCAGATTTTTAACAACATTAGTTACATATAACAGAATGTTTCTGTGAATTTTGACATTTCCAGCAAATATTGCTTGATTTTACTTAAAAAAATTAAAAAAATAAATCCAAAAATGTATACAGCATTGTAAACTAAAACCATTATAATCCTTATTAGAGCGGTTCATGAATTATTGATTAGGTGATGTATATTGTGCATAGAAATGTAATTGCTATAAACAGCATATTGCTATATATTGTAATTGTGTATGTATGTATGTGTATATATATATATATTCTCCCTATCTTTGATTGCTGCTTCAAAGATTGATATCTGCCACTTTGAGTTTCCAGTCCTTGGTTAAATAGGCTATTTTACTTGTTATTCTCTTCCCTGCTCTATATTTTTATAGCTTTACATTTGCGTTGAATATTTTATGAGCAATATCATTCAGAGACTAGGCCTGCAGACATGCAAGTCTGCTTTCAATTCACTTTCATTCGTACTGTCTTAGTTCATTTCAGTTCATTTCATGGAGATTTGCATTCAGCCAATATCATCTATAAAGGCGGAATTTCCAGTGGTGTGAAGTATATGTAATGGATGTGTTTGATTAATTTCGCATAGTCTTTTGTGCTCTATATTCACGCTTCTTTCTTTCATTTTTTCTTCTTTCGTCTTGAGGAGCAGAATGTGATGTTTTATATGTACCAGATAAATGTGTGTTCTGTGCTTTAGCCCTGATGGGAATGCTTTCCTCATCTCTGCACATAAGAGTCAGTGCATGTACATTCTCAGTCGTTCATTAAAAAGTCATCTGTGTGTAAATGAATCTCTTTTAGTGAATGAAATGTGAGTTTAGAGCATCAGTTGAGAAAGAAAAATAATAAGCCGTAATATGTATCTAGTAAATTAAAACTGATTTATGCTGTCAGCTATGTCTTTGAATCATCATTTGCTACTTGCAGTTGCACATAGGCAGGACATTAGGGTGAATGATACTTCGATTCGAAATATAAAGATTATTTATATAAATAATACTGATAACCAGTATATGGCTGATATTAAAACGTATAAATGACATAATAATAATAGTAGTAGTAGTAGTAGTAGTAGTAGTAGTAGTAGTAGTAGTAGTAATAATAATAATAATAATAATAATAATTAACAAAAAAGTCAACAAAATAATTGGTACAGGTGAATTTAGGCATCATAACATTATAATGTACAGTATGAAAAATGTATTTTATTTTTTTTTTAGGTGTGATGAGGATTACATTTAACAGTGTTAGTAAATTATTAATTCTTTGGTGTTAAATTATGGCAAAGGTAATTTAATTGTAGTAATCCATTAAATGTCCAATATTGACTGATATAAAAAAAAAAAAAAAACAACAACAAAATTTATATCAGTTTTTAGCCAATAATAATGTACCCATATATATAATGCATCCCTAACATAAATCTGTGTAGTGCAGCATGAGTCATCATTATTTTTTGGTCGAGGAATAGATGACGTGATTGATGACGTGACATATCCTGTCATATGATGTCACCACCAAATGGTTAATAATTAATAAGTGAATGCAAGCCAACACAAACCATTACAGATCAGCAGCATTCAGCCCAAACTGAAATCATGAGTTGGTTACAATGAACGGCTGCTCTGTTTTGCGTCCAAATGCAATTGGCAAGTCCCTCAGGTTTGTTTCTTGTTGCGAGAGCTCAAAGTGACTCAGCGGTCTTTACGCTTTCAGTCTCAGGGACACATTTTTATAGCGAGTTCACACTCAACCGGGTCCTTTCTCAAAAAAAAAAAACACTGTTTTTTCCCCTCTTTTTATTTAAATGAGATTTACGGTGTGCGAATCTGCCCAGATAGCATACAAGTACGCGCATCCCACAAATTCAGGCATATTGGCCTCGACGTTCATCTTAGATTAATTAGCTTTTAACAGCTGAGAGGTGATTTATGGACCCTGCTTAAGCGTTTCCCCTACCGATATTTATCTTGCTAAGTGCCATCGTTCATTGTGAATTATTGAATCTCTCTCTCCCGATATTTCTGTGCATTTCTACCCGAATAGAAATCGCCAGCTTGCGTTTCCAACACCTCAGGGGTCGGATTGATGATAAGGTTGCTATGGCAACCACTTGAGTTGATGTGCGCTGCTGTGTGCGTTTGATCTCAGCGGTGCGGCTCGGACCAAAGCCAAAATGTTTTTAATCAAAGGTCTGCTTTATTAACCCCCTCTTGTCTGATGATCGCTAGTTGGATGGTCTCGGTCTGTAGTCTGCAGGAGGCTGTGGGGATGAAACGGTTGCTAGGCCCTGAAGCTGTTGTATCATGTGGCTGGTGTTTAAGTATACAGATTTTTATCACGCTGGGCTTTTGAACTTTAAGCAAAAAGCCTTGGGCTCATCCCACACCGAATCGGGTGCTGTTTGAACAGCGGTGAACGGTTTGAAGGCTGATCGCTCTGTGTTTTCCTCACTGTTGACAGTGGAGGTTGTTAAAACAAAATTTAGCTTGGCTGATGCTGAATTGACTGATTTTTAAAACAGTGCCATAATTTTATTGATTTTTCATCCACCTGAAATATAAGAGCACCTGTTTGGCAGACAGAAGGAGGAGAGAGATGGATCAGAAAACAAAAAAATATTTATTATTTTGGAAAGGGACCTTCTGTGATTGAGAGCATAAATTATTGTCAGTGGAATTAATCTATTTTGTCACTCTTTTTCCCCCCCCTCAGATCTTTTACTTTATTCAAAAATACATTAATAATGCCATTCATACTTTTACATACGGGGACTTGAATACATCTCTTTTTAATTTCTGTTTAAAATGACCATTATGAAAATATTTGATCAAATCACATTAAGCTTGTTTAGACTACCGTTCAAAATTTTGAGGTCAGTAAGGTGTATATATTTTACTTTAGTATTTTTAAATGTTTTTTGAACTTACTATTACTATATGAATCCATAAAAAAGGTGTCACGGTTTTTACAAAAATATAAAGCAACTGTTTTCAACATTGATAATAATCAGAAATGTTTCTTGAACAACAAATCATTAAAATTATTTCTGGATCAGACTGTAGTAATGGCTGCTGAAAGTTCAGGTTTGCCATCATGGGAATAAATTACATTTTAAAATATATACAAATAGAAAATTATTTTATATTGTTTCCATTTAAAAAAAAAAATCAAATAATAAATGCAGCTTTGGTTAGCATAAGAGACTTCTTTCAAAAACATTTAAAAATCTTACTGACCCCAAACCTTTAAACAGGAGTTTCCAAATCACATCTAAATACATTTTGTACTACAGAACGTTATGTTCTCCTTCCTTCTGCAGTACCCAAGGATCCAAACCCTCACTGGCGCAGGGTAGCGTGGAGTCATGACTCTGCTCTGTTGGCATATGCTTGACAGCACTGGTACGGTCCGAGTCTTTGTCCTGATGGCTCCCCCTCCCTTGCCTCACAGTGCTTTGGTCCAAATGCCTGCTTTTCTCTTTTACATCACCTCAGTGTTGCCAAGTCCGCGGTTTTCAACTGTTTTCAACATTGATAATAATCAGAAATGTTTCTTGAACAACAAATCATTAAAATTATTTCTGGATCAGACTGTAGTAATGGCTGCTGAAAGTTCAGGTTTGCCATCATGGGAATAAATTACATTTTAAAATATATACAAATAGAAAATTATTTTATATTGTTTCCATTTAAAAAAAAAAATCAAATAATAAATGCAGCTTTGGTTAGCATAAGAGACTTCTTTCAAAAACATTTAAAAATCTTACTGACCCCAAACCTTTAAACAGGAGTTTCCAAATCACATCTAAATACATTTTGTACTACAGAACGTTATGTTCTCCTTCCTTCTGCAGTACCCAAGGATCCAAACCCTCACTGGAGCAGGGTAGCGTGGAGTCATGACTCTGCTCTGTTGGCATATGCTTGACAGCACTGGTACGGTCCGAGTCTTTGACCTGATGGGCAGCGAACTATTCCACCGGTATGTCACTCAAACTGACCTTCTGTATTTCTCACCTCCTGTCATTCTCTCTCTGTCTGTCCTTTCCTCAGTTATTCTCTCGCTTTCTCTTTCTCTCTCACACTCAGTCTGTTGGTATTGGTTCCACTTTCCTTGTACAGTAACTTTTGGTGCACAGTAAGAACACTCTCTTCTGTTTCAGTATAAGTGATAGCTGTAATGACTGGCTCCTAATGACTAAATTTCAGGCTTGTGTGCGTTGCCCTCTGGCTTTTTGCGCTGCTTGGCTCTTCTCACATTCTCTTTCTCTTTCTCTGTCTCTGTCTGTAGGCTTGACCCTCTCGAGAGGGGCCTTTCCCCACTCTGTTGCCCAAGCAAGGAACACATTTTCTGGTTCCCTTCAGCTCTAAGCCCCCGATGCCCTTGAAGGACATTTTCTGTGTAGTTTCTCTATCAGAAAGGCAGCTCTCTTGCCCCTTTTACCATTTTCAAATTCCCCCTCATCCCTCCCTCTGCGTTTCTTTTGATTGCACTGCTAGTGAGGTCTCAGTCGGTCTATCACTGGCCTTTCTCTCTTGCAGGCTCTCATCCTCCCCCGCATTACTCTACACTCTTCCATCTCTCTGTCAGAAACTATTAGTTTAGTCTCACAAGATGCCCTCTCACTATACCAGAGTCTGAGAGTGTAATGACCTGTATGACTCCATATATTTTTGTCACTTTCAAACTCTGTTTCCATCTCTACCTCATCTTTTTGATGTCTTTCTTTTTGTCTGTCTTTCTAGGCTATGAGCTTCCCAGGGGATTTTAGCTATGCAGCAGGTGGTCTGATGTTCTTGGAATACACCGCCAGTGCCCAGTGGTCAGCAGAGCTGCTGGTGATCACCTACAGTGGTCAGCTCAAGAGTTACCTGGTCAGGTACATGCATAGGCGGAAATTCC